CCAGGATTTTCGAATGGACAGCAAACGTACTGGCTGCAGCCATACGCCGGATCTCCGTAAATTACTTTTTCATTGAAAAACATGGATTCATCATTTTTAAAGACATCCAAAATACCACTCATGCTTAACATCGTCGAATCATGCCGCCCGCCTTCCACGGGACCGAATATGCTGACAATTTTTCCATCTGGAGCTGTAACAGCTTGCCAGTTGAAGCAGTGGCGTCTCGGATGACCATTATACAGAGATCTTTGTAGGTTCTCGTATGGTGACGTCGGATTCCTACGAGCGCTTGGTCTGGATACATACTCCTTAGTTCCATCCACAAAACCCCAGCAACGTGCTAACGGGGAGCCCTTGGCTCTAATTGCGTCACAATACCTCTCAATACGGGCTGCAACATTACCATGGTTGAAATACAGGAGAGCCTTGTATTTGTTGTACAACGTATCCGCTAAGTGGCGACAGACGCGCGTGTGCGCCCCAGGTGATCTGCCGAGCTCATTAGCTACTGTATACAGCATCGATGGCTCCTTCAGCCTTCTGCACAGCATAGCAAGCGCTTCAACGGTCGGGACAGCGTCACGCTCTGGGGTAATAATGACTGGTTTCGGTAAATGCATTTTGGTCGCTAGCAATCGTAGCTGAGGCAGCGTAAAATTGAAGCGTGTCCGTGCCGTCGCGTCGTCCATGGAGGGGTCGAAGTGGTTGCTTGTGTTGATCCGAGGAGGTGGGTCTCGAAGACGGAAGCAATGACTGGCGATGAGGAAGTGCATTGTGCGCAGGAAGCGCTTCCGATTACCCCGTGCAGCAAGCAACAAACAGCTAATGATGACAAGTGCTTGCTCCGCTGTGAGCTTCGGTGCTATGAAGACCATTGACGAGGTTGGATGGTGCTAGCTGTGAAGACGAAAGTGAGCTCAAATCCGAGTTGAGCAAACCGGCCAGTTAGCTCAAAAGCAATTCCGTTTGAGTATCGTATTTGAGAGGGCTCACCCTAGAAAATCAAAAGAAGACTGAAACTCAACAAAAAACAGGTTGCGAAAGGTCTCAATACAGTCGTGCACCTCCAATTCGGCAGGGCGGACCATATCAACAGTGCCAGGGCATAAGTGCACAACGTAAAGCAAAAACCAAACGCAAATCCAGTGCAATGATATTTGTTTTGTTAATTCAGTACAAAATTTACTTCAATCTTCTGCATAATCTT